CGAAACAAATCAATATGTGCCCATATATAACAGCGCAACAAACTTTTTTTCTTAAATCCATTAATTAATTGCTTTAATTTTTTTCAAATTTTTTAACGGAAACATATAAAATCTTTGAAGTATTTTGTATATTTAGAATTTCATATTATATTCGGTTTTTACCCTGCAAGCCTTTCCAGAGCAACCTAATTTAGTTAATATAGTGTACAATGGTTCTCTAATGTGTTTGCTTTTTTTATAGTTTGAGTAGTTGTGTTTAATAATATTTTAAAAAAAATTCTTCAGAATAAATTTAGCTGATGATTGAGGTCTCTATTATTTTTATAATTGTACATATTATCTTACATTCGTAAGAAAATTCACTTTTGACTGCGAAAACACTACATTCATAATAAATAATAATTAGGAACTAAAATCCAGCCTAGAAGTTGGCGGGGAAGTGATGTCATTGAACTGCTGCGAATGTGTAACGTATTATTTAATAAAAGCATCTTTAAAATGTCATTCAAGAACGCATAAGGCATAAGTTTTCTCTGTTTGTCTTTCAGGGTCACGTGCTCTTAGTATTTTATTTACCCTTAAAGAAGTTCCAGATCCGAAGGTAGAAACTTTAAAGGCATAAAAAGTATGTTGGTGTATATTCTTCTGTAGTTTAATAAAATATATTATTGGATGCTATATATGATTGACGAATTCAAATGTTTAGTCTATGGTTTAACATTCATAAGTTAGCCAAAGCCTTGTTTTGGCTGTTGCTAGCACTTTTTAACGTATCTTTAGATCTTTAAGTGACGTTCAGTGCCCTTCGGATCGGTATAATGTGCAATTCTTTGATTTTACTATTTGCTTAGACTACACTTAGGGCACAACATGATTTTATAAAGTCGTAAGAGAATGTTCTTTGTTCACAGACATGATGCTTTCGTATATAATTTTTGTTAACATTTAAGTCTAGACAACTGATTTTGTCATCCCATTACATATCAATGTAATACATGTTGTTGACGATTAAATATACAGAGGTGTTAAATTTGCATGACTTGTGCAAGATGGATGATGGGCAGTATTACGTGTACAATATTTACAAATTGATTATCTATTGTAATACGGTATACCTTTACAACATTATATAGAAATCAGGAAAAAGCCCACAAACCATTGATGAATACTTGCTAGCTATTTTAACCGATTGAATATGGCTATAAATTATAATAGCAACTAATTCGTCTTATGTGAATATATACGACCTCTATACTCGAATGCAGTAGTAGTATTTCTATGAATGTTAAACCAAAAGTTCACAATTCTAAATTTTCTGAAAAAATATTATTGTAATTTAAACAATGTTCGGTTAAGTAAGGTTGGAGTGGAGACCTTGTGTCCAAAGCCCACTTAAGTTGAAATGATGGCACAGATTTAGCGTATGTACATGCGGTAACTAGAGGGTAGCGTACGAGCAACATGGAAAGGCACGACTTTCCTATTAGGTAAAGACGAACTAACCTGATAATTCTATCAATTTGTTTAAGTCCTTATTTTCGCAGGAATTTAAGGAGGCAAACGTTACAATTATTCTTTAATCGCTCATCGAGGGTTAATGAAAATAGAACAATTCCATACATAGTTTTTCATATTGGCTAAATCCCTAATTTTGTAGAAACTTGAAGAGAGAAACTGTACAATTATTCCCAGTTCGTTTGTCGAGGGTTAATTAAAATAGAACAATTCCATATATGTATGTATATTATTTGATTATTTGATCGAAAAAAAACCTCTTTATTATTTGATATTGTTATTTTAAATTAAAAATATTTAGCATTTTATTTGTAATTAGTGCTATATTAAATAATATATAATAAATATTTTTAATTAATAAGAAACAGTGGAAAGCACTATTTAATATTGTTTTTATACAATATTATTTAAAATCACATAACACACAATTTTTTTTTCGCCGTTTTCAATGGATCTGTTTGTTTCACCGAAAAAAATTCAAAATGTTTAATCTTGCATTACTTAAAATCACCCCTCCATGTCTGCAATTACATGTTCTTAAATTGCTTAATATTATTAACCACATAATTATATGATAATGCATTGTGTTTCTTTTTTGTTGTTGTCAACAGTTATTCAAAAATTGCTCATCAAATGCTTGAAAGAGAATTGGCACAACGGCTCTCCGTACGCCAACAAGTGCTGCTGCACCTTAAAAATAATATGGATCACATAAAGGAAAAATCACAAATAAAATTTAAATCAGTCTCTTGTTATACTTCGAATCGATGGTCGTGGCGGTGGCGGTGGTCTGTCAAAATACTCGAATAAAAACACTGATTAACGTAATAAACGGTACTTTATTATATATATTATTGTCGTTATATAAAATATATATAAATATATTATCTACAAGACTAATAAAAATTGAAGACAACTTAATGTACATTACTGTGATATATTAAATAATAAAAACTGTGTTAGATATCTGTTAACCGTTAGATGATAACCGATCCAGCGGTGTTTTATTTAAATTAAAAACATTTATTATTTTGTACCATTTATAATACTTTTTTTATATTATAAAATTAAAAAAAAATTAGCTCTTCAATTGCTATATTTATGTAGCAATTAAAAATGCGATAAAATTACAATTTTTAATTCATAAAAAATATGCAAAATTGTTGTTGTATTGTTAAAGTGTCTTTTCATTTATTTGTTTATAATTTTTGTTGATTCTTTATTTTATTTTTGTTTTTGCTTCCTTTGCATTTTACACATATCTTCACACGAGTATATGGTATTTGTTAAACAGCGTCAAGCTATAATTCGGCTGCTGTTATTTAATTCCTGTTGCTTTACAGACAACATCGCACTGTTCATTAACACTTTGTTACAAAAACATAGAAAAATAAATTTCTATGTTATTGCTTTATAATACGATTACAGTTATATACTGCAAATTACATTTAATAAAATAAAGACATTTACATGTAAATGTATTAGATAAATATTTTCTCAAATTTTTTAAAACAAATGTTTAAATAATTTCTATTTAATAAAAATGTTTATAAATGTTAATTTAAACATATAAATTTGGTATATGTAATAATTTTTTACGGGTTAGTTGGTCAATAAAATAGATATAAAAAATTATTATTTATTGTTTATATTTAAAAACGTTTTATATTTTATTATAATACTTTTCCTATATTTAGACTATCTGTGATAGTCATATTCATTTATATTTCATATAAATTTGGTCTAAATAATATTTATGTTTTGTAAAGAGTAATTAAATTAAAGTAAAATTAATTAATTTAATTAAAGTATTTAATTTTGTAGTGAAAGTAAACAATAAATTATAAAGTAATAAACAATAGGTACATGTACTAATATAATTATGTGCACATAATGTTATGTTAAGGGTCATATTATGTACTCGTGTATATAAGTAAATCAATTTGTAAAATCGCACAAAAAAAATTGGAAATAATACTTTAATGAAAAAAATATTTTTGAATAATTTATTATAATATGATATTTATATATTATATTAAATATATACAGTATAATAAATTGTAATATTAAAATATATTATGAATATAAATAAATATAGACAATATAAATGTGATATTAAAGTATAATATATATATATATAATATATATATCAAATATCAAGTTCTCGCTATTCAGCAACTCTAAATTATTTTTTTGTATTGAAGACATATTTTCTCCTTTTTTGAAGAAATTTTTGAAACTCTTAAAGAAAATGTATTTGAAGTTTTTGTTATTATATGTACTTTTGTCTTTTTATTGATTCTAGCAATAATGTTAGATAATATTAACCTACTTTTTTGAGTTTTGAAAAATTGTTTGATTCAGATCTGGCTATTAAATATGTATCGTTCATATATGTCAGTAGTTAAAAAAAATCTATCTTAGTATATTAATTTTTTTATAAGTGATCTAACAACATATTTTAATAGCTGATAATACATCACTAAGAAATGCATATTAATAGTGGTTGTCTTACAGGAAGAGTATTTCTGCCTAGAGAAGACTGCCAATTGCAATGTTTCCGTAAATTTGTCACATAAGTTAGATTAATATGGCGTTCGTCATTTGTATTGAATTAGAACTAAAAACTGGTTCCTAATGACCAGTATTTCAAATTATTCTGTTAGTGGCATTGTATAGTTGTGAATTGTATTTCAGTGGTACTGATGTTAGTTAAGATTCATTATAGTACTCATTTAGTTCTGAAGCTTTGTATTGAAGGATTAAAAAAAGATTTTTAAAAATGTTTTGATATAAAATTTGTTTTTAATATATTAATATTTAATTTTAAAATTTTATAACAATAAATAAATTAAAATGCATAATTGCATTTTAAGATTTTAACAGTTTTAAAATTCCTAGATTGCATAGACTATGTTTAAACTTTAAACTCTATCGCTACTAAATAATTTCATTTCAGTGCGTATGTGTTTAAATAATAAATAAATAAATAGAAAATATATTAATAAATATTTTTAAAGTGATATATATTATATTGTTGGACTTAATTTTAAATACGTTGTGGCATGAATTTAATATGAAAAGGTAAGTAAATTTTTGATCATATTACTGAATTTTGAATTAAGTACTTTAATAACTTCTCATTTATATGACATATAAAAATATATAGATAACAAATATTTATATTATTATTACCTGTACACCAGGCAGAGGTTATCTAAAAGGAATTTCCATTGCTTTCTTTCAAAATTTTCAAATTATTTGCAGATAAATCTATCTGCAAATCCACAATATCTTAATTTAGATTCACAAAGGGGCCAACTAAATTTATTGAAATAGAAATTATGCAAACCATAGATTTTGTTGCCTAAAGTTCGAATACTATCTATAATAGTTCATTTCATATTTTACAAAAGGCAGTATTTATATATTGATGCTAATAATTTTTTCAAAGTTTTATTACAAGAAATTTGATAAATTTATTCTAATAATTTTTGAAACTATTGTATGTTTAATCCATCGAGATCGTTTCAGTTTTAATGAAAAATACTAATCAGTCGTCATCGTGATTACACTGGGGCAAACTGCGTTTACGCTTAAATGACGCTATAGCTTTAAGCATATCACGTGCTCTGGACTTTGAACGACATGGTTGGTCTCCTACTATTACATCTTCGTACATGTTTTCATCCCGAATTGGATTATATGTAGTTGTTGATATGTTGTAAGTTCTTGTAATTTTACTATCTTCATCCAAAGTTACTTCACCTTTACGAATAAGGCTGTAAAATGGTTGTGCGTGTATCTGTTTAAATAAAATAAATCCTTGTTGCATAAAGAAATAAATTAATTATTTATAATAAATTACTGGTGGATGGCAATTTTTGTATATCAGATCTGCCAAAATAAAAGTCTTTATAGCTGCATTGAGTTCAGTATTAAATTGACTGTCATAATATGAAAAAATGCCTCTAACTTTAAAATTAAATCTGAAATAAACATTATTAATTTAAAATAATTTTTTTCTATATGGTTTAGAACTTACGTATCCCTGAAATTAGCACTTCTCTTATATGATTCTATATTATCTTTTTCGACCTGAATTCGTTTGAGGAAGGCTTCTATTAGTGATATCGGCTCCACTTCTGGCAAATTTGGATTTACTTTATAGTTCTCACCTAACGTTACTTTAAAAGACAAGTTATTAAAATCTAACTTTCCCTGCAATGTTTCCACTATAGCTCCGGGGCAGTTTTCATCCTTTATCAATTTCTGTAATTGCATTTTAACTATATGTTGACGTTCTGATAAAGTACAAGATTATTACAATTTAATAATAAAAAATATTTGTTGCAAATTACCTTTCAGTGTTAACTTTTGAAAATATGCAAAAAAATAGAATAAATAAAAAGTTTTTGTTATTAAATTTACTCTTAAAATATTTTATATTTAATAATATTACTATAATAAACTGAATGCGAAAATGTGCCTGTGTGTGTAAAAACAGAATAGGAATCTACATATAGAATTTGTTATTTAATCTATTTTGATTTTTGAAAAAGCGTTCGACTCAATTTCTTGAAGTGTATTTGGATATGCATAACATCGGTATCCCAGAAGAAAGTAAATCTCTCTGATACGCAGCAGCTACAACAGTTCTGAATGTGCAATGATGCATGAAGGTAAAGTGTCGGATATTTTTATTGCAATGTCTGGAGTAAGGCAGGGGTGTATATTGTCACCCGAGCTGTTTTTAATCGCTATCGATGCTGTTCCTAACGAAAATAATAGCCGTGGCATTGTATGGAGTTCTTTAGACCCAAATGACCCACTAGAATCTTTGCATTATGCAGACGATAAATGGGAATTGGCACATCCTTTAACCGATATGTAGCGAAGACTTCAAAATCTGGAAAAAATGCTAATTCTCGAACTTAAAAGCCAAATTGTGGAACAAGTAAATGAATTTCAATACTTGGGAAGTGTAGTAGTTATTGATGGTGGCACTATACATACGAGACATGAGTACAAGAATACGAAAGACGATTGGCGTGTTTACAAAGAGGAACACAAAATGGAGATCTAACTTTTACAGGTTAACAACGAAAGTTAACCTTTTCAAAGCATGTGTTTTATCCGTACTGCTATATGGTTGCGAAACATGGCTCGTAACCGAGATAATTCAAAACAAAGTGCGTGCGTTGGTAACCCGTGCTTAAGGAAAATTTTACGCATCTTTTGCCCACACCGAATTTTAAACCAATAACTGTGGGACAGAACGAATACAAATGACATCAACATGAATATCCGTAAGAGAAAGTTTGGCTGGATTGGTCACACCCTACGAAGTTTGTTTTCAAGCCCTTACGTATAATCCGCAAGGCAGTAGAAGAAGAGGTAGGCCTAAGATTACCTGACGCAGATCAACACTAAACGAAATTGACAGCTAATCTGCACACTTTGGCAGATCATACATCAATATCGTTGAGCTCAGAGAAGTGGTAGTAAAAAGGAAAAGCTGGACGTAATTTGTAGATAGCTTATGCCTAGTATAGAGACAGCTTGGAATCATGTGACGCCATTCTTAATATATATTTAATTAACTTAACTATAGAGACGATTAAAGTAAAGACGAAATTAGAGTATATTAAGGTAGTAAATGATATTAAAGTATATATATAATCATTACTAAGTTGTTTAAACATTGATAATAATAAAATCGCTGTTTCTTAATATGTACCTGTTTATTTTTTATACATGTTTATTATTTTACTTACTTTTTTACAAGCCAAATCCATTTCTTGAGGGCACTAAAACCATTAATAAGATTAGTTAAATTATTTATAATATATAAATATAAATATAAAATTATTTTAGTATCTAAATTATTTAAAACCCTGTATTAAGTAAATTATTGTAATTTTTGGTAAAAATCTAATTAGATACACAAGGTATTCAGGTTCAACATATTTTATGGGCGGATTTTGTTTATAGACACAGATTTTCACAGAAATTGACGTCATAGTCTTTGATTTGGCTGAATGAAATAAAAAGACCCGTAACTTTTTTCTTTTGAAATAATAAGAACCGAATTTTAAAAAAAAATTTTTTGATTTATTTTAAAAGATGGAATTTTGGGATTTTAATTTTGGGCCGTATCTTAAGCCATTTGAATGGTACCGACTTTAAGTTGACATAGTTTTAATAATAATTAATTAAAGAGGCTATAAATTGTTCCACAGGTAAAATTATTTTTATTTTATTTATAATATAAACAGTTAATTTGAAAAAAAAATTTTTTTTACTATATAATGAACTATATAGTTTACTATATAATCAAGAATTATAATACCATCCTGAATTAATTAATAAAAATTAATTAATTAATCAAATTATACATATGTTCTTGTGAAACATATTTCGATAAAAGTATTTATATTTTTATAGTAATTGATAATTTATATTTATTTATATATTTATTATATAAATAATAATTTCATTATAATATATAATATATGTTATTATTTATAATATATATATATTTATTATATTTTTGATTTGAATTTATTAAATTATTTGAAAATAAAACTGAAGCAAAAAAGTCTGGACTATAGAGATAATAATGAAGATTACATTCATACTTCATGGTGTTCAAAATATTGGAATGTTTGGATTATTAAGTATCTTCATTATCGACAGTATACTGCATATAGCGAAATTTCTTTTTATTATGTTCGACAAATCTATTATTTTTAAATCAAATAGCTTATAAAAAAATTATAGCAATAATATTACAGTTACATAAACATTTTTTCCAATTGAAGCATTATTATTGTTAGGGAATGTGGCACTGTGACCGTCGGGTCTATTGTATTCCCAATTGAAATATAAATTAAATTAAAACTTACCTTCTGCTTACAATCAAATTCTAAAGCTTTTTTTGAAGAATTCTTTCCAGCTTGGTTACGTTCTTCTGGAGGCGGTGAACCCTGTAATGTATTTTTATATAAATAAAATGTATATCAAATTTTAATAAATCTAGAATCCGTGTTAGAATAATGTTATAGAATACCACAAATTAAAATGAAAAACATTAATATTTTGTATATAAGAATATATAATATGCATTATAAGAAAAGGCACACTTCACCATAATATTTATAGACCAATTTCGCTGAGAAAAGTAGAGAAATAGAGTTGTTGCGTCTAAAGTGATGACAATATATTTGTGTTACTTATATAGAATCTATACTTTCAATCTATACTTTTTTAATTTTAGAAAATAAGAATTTCATGTTTGCAATAAATTTACTACTAAGGATGGAAGTTTTTGCCTTTGACTTTATTTCAAAAATTCATTCCCCTTTCTTTCAAAAAGAGAGAAAGATTTAGATATATAGAAAGAGATATTACTTTTTTTAAAGTAATATGCGGATAAATATAATTTTTGTATTAACAAATTTTTAATTGACGGTAACAGTTTTGATTATGTAATGTCATGAAGCTAAACTCACCTTTTCACCGCAGCCAGATGGAGAATTCTTTTTCGACGGATTTTCACCACATTTAGATTGCTGTTTCTTGTCATCACATTTTTCAGGTGTAGCCTATCATATGAATAAGTTAAATTATTATTGTTTTATTATAATTGAAATATATATATTTCTTAATTCAGTACCAATTATATTAAAAATTTTTTTATTTGTTCATTTAAAAGCTAAAATTTTTGCTGTCATATGTATTTGTATTATATTTATATTGATAAATTTTCCCATTACTAAAAACTTATTTATGAACTTCATTATTAATTGTACTTAAAGCTAAACTCACCTTTCCACCACAATTAGTTTGTGAGCTCTTTTTCGATGAACTTTCACCACATTTAGATTGCTGTGTTGGATTGCTGGCACTTTTTTCTGGTGTAGACTGTAAAGTAAATAAGTCATATTATCTTTGTTTTATCATAGCTATTAGTTAAAAGATATATATTTCTAAAAGATATAATTATTTCACCCCATCGCAATCAGATGGTGATGTCTTCCAAATGTAAACTTAAACTCACCTTTCCACCACAACCAATTTGAGGACTTTTTTTCGATGGATTAATACTATTGTTTAATTGCTGTTTATTGCCACCACTTTTTTCCGGTGTTGACTGTAATGTGAATAGGACATATTATTCCTGTTTTATTATAGTAAAAAATTAGGATATATATCTACTTAGTTTAGAACAAATTGTTTTAAAAATTATTTCATATGTCGATTGAAATGCAAAAATTATTTTTACACATAACAGAAGTAACTACCTTTGTTTTATTATAGATTTAATTTAAAAAATTCGTGTTTCTGAATTCAGTACCAATTATATTAAAAACAATTCAATTGACTGCAATAGATTATTGACTCAAATGCAGAATTTATTTCTGTTGTATGTATTTATATTCATAAATATTACCTTCCTACCACGATCAGATTTTGAAGTCTTTTCTATATAAAGTTAGACTCACCTTTCCACCACAACCAATTTGAACACTCTTTCTCGGTGAACTCTCACCACAGTTAGATTGCTGTTTATTGCCACATTTGTCTGATGCAGACTGTAATGGATATAAGTTATAAGATCTTTTCATAAATAAATTTAATTTTATTCTGTTCCAACTCGATTGTATTACACATTCTTTTAAATTACTTTAAGCGCGGAAATATTTTAATTATAATTAATTACATTTATAAATAATCAAGTTACCTTTTGATCACAACCAATTTGCACACTTTTTCTTGAGGAATTTGCCAGAGATTGGTGTTGTTTAAACTGCTCAAAGCTATCATCTAAGGACTATAATGTAAATCATAATAAGTTTTTGTATCAAAATCAAAAGTGAGGCTTCAATACGCTGTTAATTATTTATATAAAGAATTAATTTAAATGGAGTTATCCAATGTGTGGGTATAGATGGTAACAGCTTAGCCATTACTTAATGCTTGCCAAGACATTTCAAGGACTCGAGGGTTTGATTATTGCTTAATTAAATACAATTCTTTGAGTAACTTAATAATGAAATTTTCGGTTCGGAAAACATAAATTACAAATCAAAAAAATTTGTAGGAAAACTTTGCTATAACAGTACCATTCTTTTAAGACCACATATTTTCCATATCTATATGTTATATATAATATCAAACACAATAAAATAATTATCATGTGGTTTGTGTAACACATTATTTATAAAAAGTATGGACCTATCACACTCCCAAATTAAAATTAGATAACACAAATGGTCTTTTGACAGTTACTTGTAGATTTTTATTGCTTCAGCTGTGATAATTTTATATAATGATGTATCCAGCAAGTGAAAATTATTTTCTTACATATTAAAGTAAACAAAACTCACCACTTCATCACAACCAATTTGAGGACTTTTTTTCGATGAACTCTCACCACAGTTAGATTGCTGTTTATTGCCACACTTTTCCGATGCAGACTGTTATGAAAAAAAGTTATATCTCTTTGTATTAGAACAATTATAAATAAAAAGATTAATGTTCTTATGACATTTATTTTATTCTGTTTGAGCTCGATTGTATTACACATTCTTTTAAATTTTAAGTGCGGAAATATTTTAATTATAATTAATTACATTCATATATAATTAAGTTACCTTCTGACCACAACCAATTTGTACACTTTTTCTTGAGGAATTTGAAAGATTTTGGTGTTGTTTAAACTGTTCAAAGCTATCATCTAAGGACTATAATGTAAATCATAATAAGTTTTTATATCGAAATCAAAAGTGAGACTTCAAAACGCAGTTAATTATTCATGTAATAAATTAATTTAAATGGAGTTATCCAATGTGCGGCTAGAGATGGTAACAGCTTAGCTATTACTTCATGTTTGCCAAGACATTTCAAGAAGTCGTGGGTTTGATTCTTCTTTAAATAAATACAATTTTTGAGTAACTTAATAATGAAACTTTCAGTTCGGAATTTAGTGTTTAATACACACTATGAAAACGTAAATTACACATCAAAAAAATTTGTAGGGAAAATTAGCTTTAACTGTAGCATTCTTTTAAAACCTCATATCTTTCATATCTATATCTTAAATATAATATCAAAAACAATAAAATAGTTATCATGTGGTTTGTGTAATAAATTTATTATTTATTAAAAGTATAGGCCTATCACACTCCCAAATTTAAATTAGACTACACAAATGGATTTTTGACAGTTACTTTTAGATTTTTATTGCTTCAGCTATGACAATTTTATATAATGATATATCCACCAAATGAAAATAATTTTTTTACATATTAAAGTAAACAAAACTCACCTCTTCATCACAACCAACTTGAGGACTTTTTTTCGATGAACTCTCACCACAGTTAGATTGCTGTTTATTGCCACACTTTTCCGGTATAGACTGTTATGAATAAAAGTTATATCTCTTTGTATTAGAACAATTATAAATGAAAAGAGTAATATTTTTTATGACATATTTATTTTATTCTGTTTCAGCTCGATTGTATTACACATTCTTTTA